GACTTCTGGTCGATGTGGCAGCCAGGCAAACGCCTGATTCTCTTGACCACGGGGTAAGCAATAAAATACCTCTCTTCAAAGCAAGCGTCTTCGATATCAGGTGATTGTACTTTCTCAGTAGTTTAGAAGAAAAGGTCGTTCCAGCTCTCAGGTGAGGACAATCTAGGAAGATTTATAATTAATGCTTAGGACTTAGCCAGGCTCGAATGAAACTTGTTAACCTAAATTGATCTCAAAAGGAGCTCTAGGTTGACAAAGAAGGCTTGTGACCTTATTGATGGCACCTTCCCCGTTCTGTAATGGGGAGATTCTTGCGTTTTCCTCTATCTGAAGGCCAGTGGGGCTATTTGAATTTGCAGAGTAATTAATTTGTTTGCAGATCCACCTCCCCAGAGTGACCGTCCTTACCGTGCTGGCATTCCCTGTGAGCTGAAGGTCGTCCTTGCTGCCTGGGATCCCGTGCATCTTCTCATGGCCTCTTTTTTATGACCACATTCTTTTCTTAGCCCATAAATTGAGCAGCAGTGAGGGCTGAGGAGGGTGTGCTGAGCCCCCTCTACACCCCAGCACCAGGTGGAGCGCAGGAATTAAGGGCGAGCAGCCTGCCCCTTTCCCCTTGCTCTGCCTTGGTCGGAGCCAGGGCCACTAGGGGAGGGCAGCTCTTGGCAGCTTTCGGAGGAAAGGAGAGACTCGGGGCTCGGGGCCTCCCATCTGACTCTATGTAGATTTTCTCCATCACACTAACAGCAACTGTCTATCACAATTAAATACTGTTAAGTGTTGCAGCATAGGAGGGACGTTAAGAGCATAGATGTCAGGGTCCACCTGCCTGGCTTGGAATGCCAACCCTGCCACTTATGTGTTGCCACTGTCCCAGTGCCCACAATGGGGAGATTCTTGCGTTTTCTTGCCGTGGCCTTGACAGGGTACTTAACCTCTGTGACCATGTCTCCTTTGTCATCTGACTGGGGGATCATGATTGGCCTTCCTCATGGAGTAGAAAAATGAAGATTATGAGTTAATACTTTTAAAGTGTTTAGAACAGTGCCTGACACATAGTAATTGCTGTATAAGTGTTAACCAAATAGATAGTCTCTGCTTAGTTATTAGAACATCAAAATTGATTTAGGCTCAATATTCTTTTTTATGAACTGAACTGTCATAAAACTTGAGTTGTAAATTTTTAGGCTGTTGCTGCTGTAAATGTAATGAATTGTCAATCACTCTAAGTATAAAATGACATTCAAGACACATTCACAGTGCAAATGAAATCAGAGCTAGGGGTGGCCAAACCGAGCTAAGCTTTACAAAGAAGCTGCCTGGCAGTATTTCCATAGTTGGCCTGGTTAATGTGTCTCCCTGTTGCCAAATAGAATCTTACAGGCATCTCGGCATAGACCAGATAGAACCAGCGACAACTCCAGGTAGAGCTCCAGGCTTGGAGATTGGGCTTCCTGAAACACGACTCGGCAACAGCTAGTTTAAGGCCAGCAGTCTGGGTGCATCTTCTTAAATGAAGTGATTTGGTGTCTGCCAAAATAACAATCGAAATGAATGGATTTTATTTTGATGCTACCCGTTAATAATACAACATCAAACATAAGTGGTCTTAGATTACTAGGCAAATTAAAAATTAAATACTAGATTTTGTGGCTCGTATATTTCATAACTCCAGGAATTGACATCTGTACATTAACTAGAATAAATTTCGCTCATCTTGCTGTTTTTAGTTTATTTGTGCGAGGGGGCATGAAAAGGAAGAGAAGCCGACCTTGGTATGTGTGCTTAGTCCGCGAGCGGTGTTTGGCAGTGGGTAAGCAGGGAAAATTAATGAGAGTTCTAGCTTGATTTACCATGGCTGGTTTTTAAAATTCCAAAAATCCAGTAGCTGCTTTCTGTAGTCTCTGGAAAGTGGCTCTGTGTTCAGAAGAGGATAATTTATGGAGAGAAGCTAGTCGTCTTGTTTATTTTTAGAAAAACCCGTTGTAGTTAAGGAAAGATGTTTTTGTTTTCTCTAAGTCCTGAATGTGAGTTTTTTCCCCTGTTCCTCATCCCTGTAAGAATTCACACCCCCCAGCGAGAGCACTGGAGCGGGAGTGTGGAGTTGGGCGGGTGCCACTGACGTGACAGTCCTCTCCCGGGCAGCAGTGGAAGTGGCACTGTCCCCGCAGCGGGTGTCTGACAGTGGCTGGCTGTGACCTTCACGTTGTATTTGCTGACCACCCAGGCTGTCTCCCCAGGAGCTCGGCTTTGCCAACAGATGTCAAAGATGAATGGCTGAAGGAAGAGATGTGGGAGTGGGAGCCTGTGGGCTCTTTCTAGAACAAGGAGACGCTTCCTCTTAAAGGATGCTTATGCCTTATAACTTTGCCTTTTCTTAGGCCAGCGTTATATGTCCGCAATTTTTAGTCTGACTTTTCCTCCCTGTGGGCATCTCTGTCTTAATTAAGCTGGAGACACAAAGCGAATGTGGAGAGGCAGCTCTATTCGGACATGGAAGGCAGCCAGAGGAAACCCGGAATGTGGCAGGAGCGTGTCTGAGTGGCAGCCCTGGCCTCAGCACTAGCGGTTGTGTGACAGCCCCACCCCTTTGCCTAGAGCAGGAATCCTGCAAAGCTGTGGGCTGTGGGAGTGAGCAGGGGTGGACCCTCAAGCACCCACTTGTTTCTGATCGAAGCCTGCCCTGGACCTGCCTGGGGCCAGGTCACCCTGGGTGCTGGCCTCTGAGGAGCTCTGTGTATCTTCATCTCCCCAGCGGTGATCAGAATGCAGCATGGACCGCATGCGATTAAGCACTAAATTGTGTGGTACGCGCAGAAATCAATAACCCCTAAAGCTGCCTTGAGTAGGAGTTGTAAGTACTTCCTGTTCAGTTCTGTCTGGCTACATTTCATAGACAGATGCTGAAATTAGGGTTAGAATATGTTCAGAGTAGAAACCCTTTTCAGAAAAAGGGCAGCTAATTGGACGTATGGAATAGTCTATGTCCTCCTTCCCTTGGCACAGTTAGCACAACGCCTACTGCATGATAGGTACTGGAATATTTGTTGTAGCTGATCCTTAGTTTTTTCATCCATGTAATTCTTTGATTACCTTGAATTTCTCATTTCTTTTTTTTTTTTTTTTTTTTTGAGACAGAGTCTCACTCTGTTGCCCGGGCTAGAGTGCCATGGCATCAACCTAGCTCACAGCAACCTCAAACTCCTGGGCTCAAGCAATCCTCCTGCCTCAGCCTCCCAAGGAGCTAAGACTACAGGCATGAGCCACCATGCCTGGCTAATTTTTTCTATACATGTTTTTAGTTGTCCAGCTAATTTATTTCTATTTTTAGCGGAGACAGGGTCTCGCTTTTGCTCAGGCTGGTCTTGAACTCCTGACCTCAAGCGATCCTCCCGCCTCAGCCTCCCAGAGTGCTAGGATTATAGGCGTGAGCCACTGCGCCTGGCCTGCTACCTTTTTTTTTTTAGTCATGGAGTATCTCCTAGTTGCCCAGGCTGGCTTTGAGCTCTTGGGCTCAAGTGATCCTCGTGCCTCAGCCTCCCAAGGAGCCAGGTCTACAGGCATTAGCCACCATGCCTGGCTAATTTTTTCTATACATGTTTTTAGTTGTCCAGCTAATTTATTTCTATTTTTAGCGGAGACAGGGTCTCGCTTTTGCTCAGGCTGGTCTTGAACTCCTGACCTCGAGTGATCCTCCCACCTTGGCCTCCCAGAGTGCTAGGATTATAGGCGTGAGCCACCGCGCCTGGCCCATTACCTTGAATTGCTCATTTCTTGTCTTCTAGGAATTTAGACGATAACGTTAAAGTGAATCTCAGGAATCACCTTAAAGTGTGTTGAAATTCCATTATCGTTGGATACTTGGATTGTGCTACAGAAGTGATTGGTCTTGAAACAGAAATACTGGGCTTGATGATGCCGTTTTGAAGTTCATTATCTTGTAGACTGAGGCATCTGCTACAAATGAGGTGTCACAGATTTAACATAATTTCAATCAGCGTTTCTTGAGCGCTAATTGTATGCCCAGTCCCAAAGGCTTTCTTGGGAAACTGAGGCATGGACCTGTAGGAACCTAAGGGAGGTGACC